ACAGTATTGTTTATCACCGTTCCATAATGCCAATCTTGTGTTTGCAAGCTGCTTAGCTGCTGATGTTATTATACACATGTGAGTCAAGGTACATGTTTAGGTTAACTGGTTTTTCTTCTTCTATTTCTGTGAGCTTTTTTCCTCCTAAATGGTACTCATGTCTTTGGTTTACATTCTGTATCTTCCAACTTCATAACTTTCCTTTTGCCTTGATGCAAGTGAAGGACTTCATCAAAAAATTGGAACTGTCTTCCCCATTTCTTAGATCGAAACTAATTGCCACCCATTTCCCAGATACCATATGACCCCTATGGGTCTAGTGCTTTTCCTTGAATGAAACAATAATTTAGCTGGGTTAAATTCTGTAATCATTTTGTTGACTATTCTTAAAAGTCTGCCCAGATCTTCATCCAGCCTTCTTGTATCCTCTTCAGTTTGTATTCTTGCTATTTGGGCATCATCTTCAAGTAAAAATATGTTGAAGTTTATTCTGTTGCGAGGTCAGTAATTTTTTTTTTTTTATCACACTGGCCGATTCCCACCAAGGCAGGGTGGCCCGAAAAAGAAAAACTTTCACCATCATTCACTCCATCACTGTCTTGCCAGAAGGGTGCTTTATGCTACAGTTTTTAAACTGCAACATTAACACCCCTCCTTCAGAGTGCAGGCACTGTACTTCCCATCTCCAGGACCGGCCTGCCGGTTTCCCTGAATCCCTTCATAAATGTTACTTTGCTCACACTCAAACAGCACGTCAAGTAATAAAAACCATTTGTCTCCATTCACTCCTATCAAACACACTCACGCATGCCTGCTGGAAGTCCAAGCCCCTCGCACACAAAACCTCCTTTACCCCCTCCTTCCAACCTTTCCTAGGCCGACCCCTACCCCGCCTTCCTTCCACTACAGACTGATACACTCTTGAAGTCATTCTGTTTCGCTCCATTCTCTCTACATGTCCGAACCACCTCAACAACCCTTCCTCAGCCCTCTGGACAACAGTTTTGGTAATCCCGCACCTCCTCCTAACTTCCAAACTACGAATTCTCTGCATTATATTCACACCACACATTGCCCTCAGACATGACATCTCCACTGCCTCCAGCCTTCTCCTCGCTGCAACATTCATCACCCAGCTTCACACCCATATAAGAGCGTTGGTAAAACTATACTCTCATACATTCCCCTCTTTGCCTCCAAGGACAAAGTTCTTTGTCTCCACAGACTCCTAAGTGCACCACTCACTCTTTTTCCCCTCATCAATTCTATGATTCACCTCATCTTTCATAGACCCATCCGCTGACACGTCCACTCCCAAATATCTGAATACGATTCACCTCCTCCATACTCTCTCCCTCCAATCTGATATCAATCTTTCATCACCTAATCTTTTTGTTATCCTCATAACCTCACTCTTTCCTGTATTCACTTTTAATTTTCTTCTTTTGCACACCCTACCAAATTCATCCACCAATCTCTGCAACTTCTCCTTCAGAATCTCCCAAGAGCACAGTATCATCAGCAAAGAGCAGACTGTGACAACTCCCTCTTGTTGTGTGATTCTTTATCTTTTAACTCCTACGCCTCTTGCCAAGACCCTCGCATTTACTTCTCTTACAACCCCATCTATAAATATATTAAACAACCACGGTGACATCACACATCCTTGTCTAAGGCCTACTTTTACTGGGAAAAATTTCCCTCTTTACTACATACTCTAACTTGAGCCTCATATCCTCGTAAAAACTCTTCACTGCTTTCAGTAACCTACCTCCTACACCATACACTTGCAACATCTGCCACATTGCCCCCCTATCCACCCTGTCATAGCCTTTTCCAAATCCATAAATGCCACAAAGACCTCTTTAGCCTTATCTAAATACTGTTCACTTATATGTTTCACTGTAAACACCTGGTCCACACACCCCCTACCTTTCCTAAAGCCTCCTTGTTCATCTGCTATCCTATTCTCTCGTCTTACTCTTAATTCTTTCAATAATAACTCTACCATACACTTTACCAGGTACACTCAACAGACTTATCCCCCTATAATTTTTGCACTCTCTTTTATCCCCTTTGCCTTTATACAAAGGAACTATGCATGCTCTCTGCCAATCCCTAGGTACCTTACCCTCTTCCATACATTTATTAAATAATTGCACCAACCACTCCAAAACTATATCCCCACCTGCTTTTAACATTTCTATCTTTATCCCATCAATCCGGCTGCCTTACCCCCTTTCATTTTACCTACTGCCTCACGAACTTCCCCCACACTCACAACTGGCTCTTCCTCACTCCTACAAGATGTTATTCCTCCTTGCCCTATACACGAAATCACAGCTTCCCTATCTTCATAACATTTAACAATTCCTCAAAATATTCCTTCCATCTTCCCAATACCTCTAACTCTCCATTTAATAACTCTCCTCTCCTATTTTTAACTGACAAATCCATTTGTTCTCTAGGCTTTCCTTAACTTGTTAATCTCACTCCAAAACTTTTTCTTATTTTCAACAAAATTTGTTGATAACATCTCACCCACTCTCTCATTTGTTCTCTTTTTACATTGCTTCACCACTCTCTTAACCTCTCTCTTTTTCTCCTTAACTCTTCCCTCCTTGCATCACTTCTACTTTGTAAAAACTTCTCATATGCTAACTTTTTCTCCCTTACTACTCTCTTTACATCGTCATTCCACCAATCGCTCCTCTTCCCTCCCGCACCCACTTTCCTGTAACCAAAAACTTCTGCTGAACACTCTAACACTACATTTTTAAACCTACCCCATACCTCTTCGACCCCATTGCCTATGCTCTCATTAGCCCATCTATCCTCCAATAGCTGTTTATATCTTACCCTAACTGCCTCCTCTTTTAGTTTATAAACCTTCACCTCTCTCTTCCCTGATGTTTTTATTCTCCTTGTATCCCATCTACCTTTTACTCTCAGTGTAGCTACAACTAGAAAGTGATCTGATATATCTGTGGCCCCTCTATAAACATGTACATCCTGAAATCTACTCAACAGTCTTTTATCTACCAATACATAATCCAACAAACTACTGTCATTTCGCCCTACATCATATCTTGTATACTTATTTATCCTCTTTTTCTTAAAATATGTATTACCTATAACTAAACCCCTTTCTATACAAAGTTCAATCAAAGGGCTCCCATTATCATTTACACCTGGCACCCCAAACTTACCTACCACACCCTCTCTAAAAGTTTCTCCTACTTTAGCATTCAGGTCCCCTACCACAATTACTCTCTCACTTGTTTCAAAGGCTCCTATACATTCACTTAGCTTCTCCCAAAATCTCTCTCTCTCCTCTGCATTCCTCTCTTCTCCAGGTGCATACATGCTTATTATGACCCACTTCTCGCATCCAACCTTTACTTTAATCCACATAATTCTTGAATTTACACATTCATATTCTCTTTTCTCCTTCCATAACTGATCATTCAACATTACTGCTACCCCTTCCTTTGCTCTAACTCTCTCAGATACTCCAGATTTAATCCCATTTATTTCCCCCCACCGAAACTCCCCTACCCCCTTCAGCTTTGTTTCGCTTAGAGCCAGGACATCCAACTTCTTTTCATTCATAACATCAGCAATCATCTGTTTCTTGTCATCCACACTACATTCACGCACATTCAAGCATCCCAGTTTTATAAAGTTTTTCTTCTTCTCTTTTTTAGTAAATGTCTACAGGAGAAGGGGTTACTAGCCCATTGCTCCTGGCATTTTAGTCGCCTCATACGACACGCATGGCTTACGGAGGAAAGATTCTTTTCCACTTCCCCATGGACAATAGAAGAAATAAAGAAGAACAAGAGCTATTTAGAAAAAGGAGAAAAACCTAGATGTATGTATATATATATATATATATATATGCATGTGCGTGTCTGTGAAGTGTGACCAAAGTGTAAGTTGGAGTAGCAAGATATCCCTGTTATCTAGTGTGTTTATGAGACAGAAAAAGAAACCAGCAATCCTACCATCATGCAAAACAGTTACAGGTTTCTGTTTCACAGTCATCTGGCAGGATGGTAGTACTTCCCTGGGTGGTTGCTGTCTACCAACCTACTACTACAGGTAATACGGTAGTGTAATAACTTAACACTGCTGGGATTAGTGGCAGTACTGTTAGCAACCAGCAATCTGTTTTTATTAAAACTAGTGAAGGTTTTGTCCCTCTTCTTTATTACTGTTGGTTGTAGGAAATCACTCTGAACTGTGTATTGGTCACACTAGACTCAGACATGATCATCTCAAGAATAGGTGCCCAGCACCACTCTTACGAGAATTATTTGCTCACGTCATCAATCCAGTATCTTTTTTGTAAATTGTCCCCATCATCAAAGAGCTCTCCTTCAATGTCCTGACATGTTTACTCTCTTAGTCCTCTTCTCTCAGAATTCAACATTTTGTTATTGTATATTTTGACGTTTCAGAGCTGTCTGATGCGTTTTTCCAAAATATATAAAATTTTAGCTAAAATTAGCATAATTTCAAATCATACTTGCTTATTCTCTCACTAACATTACCGTATTTTATGGCATCGAAGATGCTATTTTTTTCCCAAAATGTCTTGAAAATTTACCCAACATTTTGGAGGCTGAGGAACCATTTATCTTTTTTTTCTCCAAAATTTAGCCAATCAGAATTGGGGAGGCGTCCTCGATACTGGAGTGTCTTCGCTGTAAAATATGGTATCTGATCTAATTCATCAAATTTTGTTTCCTTCTCTCTTTGCCCATTTGCTCACTCTTAACTCTTCCACTTGTTTTTATTTTTCTCTTTCCTTTTGTCATGCAGCGCTGAGTGCAAAATGTGGATTTAGTACTATCAGTCATATAATCCTCTTTTGCATCAGATGACAAGCATTCTGAAAAAAATATAAGCAGTTAATATAAAGTATTAGTTACTCTTCCTGTTTTTATATAAAATATAAGTATTAAAATTTTGTGCTTATTTTCTTGGCCTTGCAGGCTTCATCAAGTGTTACCTCTACTAAAAGAAGTGCAAGTCCAGGAAGTGGGGCTAGCATGCCCACCATCTCCACTTCTGCTTCATCACCAACTGTACCCACCACCTCTACCACAGTGTCTAGTTGTAGTTCCAGTAACACACTTAACTACTCCACCAAAATGATTCCTCCTCAGTGCTCTCCTGTATCCTCCACCACCCCTGCTGTCAGTCACAGTAATGCTCTCGGGCCTTCTCCAAAGTCGCTAGTGCAGTCAGGGATGGTGCTTCCTCCACAGGTTTCACCCCACCCCAGCTCAACATCTGGAACTCAGGAACAGTCCCCAGGCCAGAACAAGACACCTTTAACTTACAGCATTACAAAGGAACAGCTGTAAGTTTACACTCATGCTGCTTAGGTGTATTTTGTCTTAAAGAGAAAACCTTGGTGTAATGGACTAATTGAGAGGAGTGGGTGTCTGCTTATATGAAAATCCATTGCAGCAAAGTGTCATCAGTGCAATGGGCCTATACCGCTGCATTGATGATTGTACCAGACTGCTGCTGCTCATGGAAAAATGCCCTATACAAGCAGATTAAGTTCACTGTATTGATGACACTGTTGGGCACACTGAGAATGAACTGTAATACAGTACAGAATAGTGAATACCTGAAATTAAAAGTTTACAGTATAGTAGAGTGTGGTAATTTTTCCTAATTTTGAGGGTGGAAAGATAAATATGCAGTGTGTGTGTATGTGTGTGTGCGTGTGGTGTGCACGTATATGCGTACTTGCTGATTTGGAGTTGCAGGGGTCAAGTCTTAGTTCCTGACCCTACTTCTCAAATTACCACTTTCCAGGTTCACTCTCTCCTAGCCTTATGGGCTGTGAAGGAGTGTTGATTTGTATGATTTGTATCATACACACATCAGCGTATTACCAAAAACTATACTTTTTTAGAGATGTTTTGTAAAATTAGCCAGTTCTCACACTTAGTCAAAATCCAATTGCCTGAAGCCCTTAAGATTAAAAAGGCTACTTGTAGATTTTCCATAAAAAACTCTTAATAAAGTTTACTCTTCCCTCTAGCATATATTCATTTTACTAGAGTTAAAAAAAAAGTAAAATCATAGTGATAGTTGCTAATTTGTTTCTTTTCATGGTTTTAAAGGTGCTATATGACCCTGGTGGGTTTAGGGGTAGAGGGTAAAAGAGGTTTTGTGTGCAAGGGGCTTGGACATACAGCAGGCATATGTGAGCCTGTTAGATAGAGTGAGTGTAGATGAATAGTTTTTGGGACTTCATGAGCTGATGGAGTGTGAGCAAGGTAATGTTTTGTGAAGGGATTCAGGAAAACCAGTTAGCTGGACTTGAGTTCTGGAGGTGGGAAGTACAGTGCCTTTGCTTTAAAGAAGGGGTTTGGGATATTTTGTGTTTGGAGTGTCATCTGAACTGTCATATCTGCCCACCTCTGCAAAGACAATGATGGTGAAAGTGTTGCTTTTTCTGTTGGGTCACCCTGCCTTGGTGGGAGATGGCCAGCATATTGAGAGAGAGAGAGAGAGAGAGAGAATATGATTGTTTATTATTGATTGTTGTGTTTTTCTTCACAGATTTGAACATCAGCTGAAGACTGACCAAAATGGTGCTTTAAATCCTGATTATCGTAATCCATTTAAAAATAAAATTGATGCTTGTAAACGTTTGATCCGGTATCATGTATTCAGTGAATCTACTCCTACTGCTCGTGAATTGACAGATTCTAATGCCCAGTTTGAATTACAAGCTGAATCTCTTCTGAAAAAGTTTAATAACATGAAATACAAGTACCAGTCTCTCTTGATCAAGGATAGTATGGTGAGTACCTGTTTATCCTCTGTACAGTATTTATCTTCAAAAGCATATAATTTGCCTTGAGTTTTAAGATTACCTTATTTGAAACAAATTTACAAATTATAAATAAAATTGGACTTGTTCATTTTTCATTCACTTCAATTTGATGGTGAGATATGATCCTCTTAACAGACAGACAACCCATATCACAGGTTTCAACTGAAAACTCACTTCTTATAAACCTGTGTAGGAAAATAGTAAAACAGTGTAAACAATTTTTTTTTAATTTATAAAAAATTCTTATGCAGAATACACATAAGAGTCTCCATGAAAAACAATGTATTTATAATCCAGAACATAATCCAATAAACACCACATTCTAGGTTTATCAATCCCTAGCTAAAATGTATGTTCAGAAACCCATATTTAACAGCAAATCTAAATCCACCACTGGAATAATTATATGGAGAAAAACCATTGTACTGTATTCCAAGTCCTTCATAAGCATAAAGGTGTGCTACTTATTAGCAAAAAAAAAAAAAGTCCATGCAGGACAATATGCAGATACTATCTGGATTGTCTGAGACTTTTAGTCCAGACATAATCTAGCAGTCGGAACCAAGTCCAATCCAAGATATAGTAGTGTTAAATATTTGTATGTATGTGTGGGAGTGTTTTATGGAGACTTGAGTAATAGCTTGGAGTATGACCCTTGGTTAACCCTTAACCCTTTCACTGTCGGTGCCATAGTACTATGACTTGCAAGCCAGTGTTGGTGCCGTAGTATAATGCTAAATTCTAGTGGCTTCAAATCTAGCGAGAGAAAGCTGGTAGCAATACTTGTGAGAGAATAGGTCTGTGTGGTCAGTGCACAGTATAAAAAAATCCTGCAGCATGCAGTGCACAATGAGAAAAACACTCTGATTGTGTTTTTGGTTTGAAACGCCGACCTTGAGGTGTATTTTTGTATGGTATTTATGGCAGTGTTCTTGTTTTCTTGGTCTCATTTGATAGAATGGAAGATATATTATAGAAATAGAGATGATTTTGATTGGTTTCATGATGAAAAGTGCCTTGAAATTGAGCTCAAAGTAGTGGAAATGTTTGGGTTTTGCCAGTGTTCAAGAGTAAACAAATGATGTCACCCTCCAATACGTGTCCAGCTGGCCAGTCTAATACACAGTCATGAATGGGGTGACATTATTTCTACAATTATTACAGTAATGAAGTAGTCTGCATAACAGTAAATCTTCTATTTTTTGTGTGAATAAAAATTCAAAATGGAAAGCATGAGTAATATAAGAGGGGCATGGAGACATGACTAATGAACAAAGAAAATATTATTTTAGTGCCAGGAATGTCTGAAGTGTTTATTCTGGACCCTATTTTGAAATGGGCACCTTTTGAAATTTGTGTGAAATTGGTCAAATTGCCAATTTCTGACCACTTTATTGGATAGTTGAAATCAGTAAATGGACAATTTCTTGTACTCTACCGATAGAACGAATGGAGTTCTAGTGAAATAGCCATGAGTTTGGTCAACTGGAACAGTGGAATTGGTCAAAAATAGGGCTCAAAGTGGGCAAAATCACCAATACGTGTGTATCGCTGGATTGCTAACTTGCGAGAGTGTAATTCCATCAGATTTTGTACTTTTGGTGTCATTACCATCAGGAAAAGATTCTCTAACATTTCATAAGAAAAAAATAATTTTTTTTTTTAAGTTCTTCGACACTGAGAGCAAGTTTGTGAGCAGGGGTCTCAACAGTGAAAGGGTTAAAGAGATGGAGCAGATTACAGTAACTAAGAGAATATATAAATCTGAGGTGGAAGGAAGAAGGAATATGGGTGCTTCCAGGAATGGTTGGAGGGAGGAGGTAAAAGAGGCTTTTGAGTTTCAGGGGCTTGAGCATCCAACAGGCTTGTGGGAGTGTGTTAAATAGTAGTTAATGGAGACAAGGGGTTTTTAATGGATATGCTGTTGGATTGTGAGCAGTGTAACTTTTATGATGGGGTTCATTCACACTGTTACTGTCTTGCCAGAGGTGTGCAGATACAACAATTGAGATGTCACTCTAAGCAGCAAATATCCCAAATCCCTCCTGTAGGAGTGCAGGCACTGTACTTCCCACCTCCAGGACTCGAGTCTGGTTAACCAGTTTCCCTTCACAAAATATTACGCTGCTCATACTCCAATGGCTCATCAAGTCCCAAAAACCATTTGTCTCCATTAAACATCACATTGTTGTTTGAAGCCCACTGGAAGACTTGATTTATATCCGTGTGAAAATTTGTTGTGCGTTCGATGGACACCATAGCTGATAACACCAAAATCTCGTAGAGATTTTGGTGTTATCTGCTAAGGATATTACTATGCTATGGTATATGTCCTTGTTAATTTTGGATATAAGAACGAGAAACAGAGGTGGGGTGAGTACCATGCCTTGAGAAACAGCTTTTCACACTGCAGTAGCCTTTGACTTCTCTGTTTAGCAAATGAAAATCTGCTCCACCCTTTTGCATGCGATCACACCATGGGCACATTTGTCAAATGTTTTTTTAAAATCATTGTATACTACATCAGCATTTAGCTTGTCTTTCAGAGCTTCCAGGACTACATCATAATGATCTAGCAATTTTGAATAGCAGGGGTGACCTGCCCTATTTCTGTACTGTCCTTGATTGTCCAATTGTTTGCAAATAGAAATTTTCTGTCGTCCATTCGGTTCCATTTTTTCCATTAGATCATTTAATGTTTATAGTCTTTTTATGTAATTCAGTTGTGCAACCCTCTGAGCTTTCACATAGACTCATGATTTATGATTAACTTTTAATTTTTTCCTGTGTTACTCCATCTGATGATGATATCACATTTCAGCGTCGCCATGCATCTTCAGAAACAGTGATGCTATACAGGTTGTTTGTACAGGAAGATAAGACTAACATTGAGAGGGAGAAGGCTGATGTCCAAAATGGGAAGAGTAAGTATACCCAGATAATTTGCCTGTACTGTTCAAGTAATTTTCTTGACGAATCTATTGAATGTGTACAGTGAGCAGTAATGTAATGTTGCATTGCAAAAATTGTATGCAGTGTGGATGAATGGAATGAACTGAAAAATAATGTATTGGAAGTAAACTCCATACACGGGTTAAAACATAGCTATGACCAGGGTCATTCATATCAATCACTGAAAATTTAAGATGCAGGAGCAAGAGCTGTAGCTCCATCAATCTCCTCTGCAAATTAAAATAAGTAATCAGATAGGTAATTATAGTACGTACTTATAATTGCCTGTAGTAAGCTGAGGTTATACAGTGGTTTTATAGTGAGACGAGGAAGCTCGGTGTTTATCACCACAGGAGTCTCAAGAAACCCAACGAATGTGACTAAATTAGTTGTTTCCTGCACACCCATCAACATATGCAGTGTTTTCGTATCCTGTGTAACAGTGCTAAAATGTGAGGATACTGGAGATAATGTTTATATAAAAATTGAAGGGGACTCCCATGATTTACATATCCTTTGCTTCCTTCCATTTGCATAATCATTGTTATTATGAAAGGAAACTAAATACAGTGTAAATACAGTACCTTATGTATACTGGTATCAATTTATTAGTTAAACTTTTTTTTTTTTTTCAACAAACCGGCCGTATCTCACCAAGGCAGGGTGGCCCAAAAAGAAAAATGAAAGTTTCTCTTTTTAAATTTAGTAATTTATACAAGAGAAGGGGTTACTAACCCCTTGCCCCCGGCATTTTAGTCACGTCTTACAATACGCATGGCTTACGGAGGAAGAATTCTGTTCCACTTCCCCATGGAGATAAGAGGAAATAGACAAGAACAAGAACTAGAAAGAAAATAGAAGAAAACCCAGAGGGGTATGTATGTATGTATATGCTTGTACATGTATGTGCAGTGTGACGTAAGTGTAAGTAGAAGTAGCAAGACGTACCTGAAATCTTGCATGTTTATGAAACAGAAAAAAAGACAACAGCAATCCTACCATCATGTAAAACAATTACAGGCTTTCGTTTTACACTCACTTGGCAGGACGGTAGTACCTCCCTGGGCGGTTGTTGTCTACCAACCTACTACCTAGATAGTTAAATTTTTATTTTGTGAAAAAATGACTTGTATATTTTGGGTTCATAGCAACTGTCCCTGTCCATGAGAGTGACTCCCACCATTGTTTATATATCCTCTGTTTCTCTTTCTTTAAACAATCAGGGTTAAAAGAAATGAAATGAACCTAGATGTAATAGTGTATACAGTACCTACCGTACATAAATTTGTGTTTCAGTTAATGTGGTACACTTTTTTTTTATGGTGTCAAGGGCCACTATAGCATCAGCTAACATCACCCTCTGCTCATTACTACTATTATTTTAATTATTTTAAATGAAATGAGATGATACTTTAATTTTTTACTTAAATAAATATTGTGTATTAAATAGTTTTTTTTTTTTTAACAAGTCAGCCGTCTCCGACCGAGGCAGGGTGACCCAAAAAGAAAGAAAATCCTCAAAAAGAAAATACTTTCATCATCATTCAACACTTTCACCTCACTCGCACATGATCACTGTTTTTGCAGAGGTGCTCAGAATACAACAGCTTAGAAGTATATACGTATAAAAATGCACAATATATCCCTCCAAACTGTCAATATTCCAAACCCCTCCTTTAGAGTGTAGGCATTGTACTTCCCATTTCCAGGGACTCAAGTCCAGCTATATAAAATAACCAGTTTCTCTGAATCCCTTCACTAAATATTACCCTGCTCACACTCCAACAGCTCGTCAGGTCCCAAATACCATTCGTCTCCATTCACTCCTATCTAATACGCTCACGCACGCTTGCTGGAAGTCCAGGCCCCTCGCCCACAAAACCTCCTTTACCCTTTCCCTCCAACCTTTTCGAGGACGACCCCTACCCCGCGTTCCTTCCCCTACAGATTTATATGCTCTCCATGTTATTCTACTTTGATCCATTCTCTTTGAATGACTAAACCACCTCAACAACCCCTCTTCAGCCCTCTGACTAATACTTTTATTAACTCCACACCTTCTCCTAATTTCCATACTCCGAATTTTCTGCATAATATTTACACCACACATTGCCCTTAGACAGGACATCTCCACTGCCTCTAACCGCCTCCTCGCTGCAGCATTTACAACCCAAGCTTCACACCCATATAAGAGTGTTGGTACTACTATACTTTCATACATTCCCTTCTTTGCCTCCATAGATAACATTTTTTGACTCCACATATACCTCAATGCACTACTCACCATTTTTCCTTCATCAATTCTGTGATTAACCTCATCCTTCATAAATCCATCCGCTGACACCTCAACTCCTAAATATCTGAAAACATTCACTTCTTCCATACTCCTCTTCCCCAATTTGATATCCAATTTTTCTTTATCTAAATAAGCATTCTGGAAGTTAATTTTGCAGAAGAGAGATGAACACAGTGACCTTTGGACTTTCAGAACTTAAAACCCAGCAATAACAAGAGCACATGCTGACAAAACCTGAGAAGGCTTTCTTGTGATTTTTTAATTTTTTTTTTTTCATATTTTTTGGATAGCTTGCATTCATGTCATGGTGGTTATTACTTTGGGCATATTTATTTAGTAAAAAGTCTTCTGGTTGGTAATACATGGTATTTTTAGTGATGTTTGCAAGTGATAGCTGTGACTGATAATAGTTGCAGAACTGATTATCATGTGTTTACACATGTCTTGTACAGAGTCACATCAACTCTCCAGACACATTCCATATCAACAAGCAACAACAGTTATAATGTAATGAATAGAAAATGTGATTCTTTTTAGTTTTGACGAATTACAGAGCTAAAAAAAAAAACGTGGTTGGCTTTTTGGATCTAATGAATGTAACTCTGTTTTTCTGTATGTTTATAGCATATTTTGGATTATTTTTTTTATTAGACACCATTTTCACAAATGTAACTTCCATTTTAATTGACAGTCAACTATTATATTATTATTATTATTATTGTTTTATCCATTTATGCATACACAAACAGCCTAGTCTAGGGAATAACTGTATTTTTGTATTTTCAGTTTTAGATGTTCCATCAGGCCTTGTCCACCGCACCAGTGACGAGACATTGCCTCCTGATACCCCCTATCCTTGGGAACTGGAATGGGAAAAACAAAAGATTTACAAATTTGAACCGTGGCAAAATGAAGAGGAAGAAGAGGAGGGGGAAGAACATCAAGAGAATGAAAAGGAAAATGGGAGCACTAAGGTGAAGGAACAAGATAAATTGAAAGAAAAAAGGAATGAGGATGAGAAGGTGGACAAAGAAGAGGATGAAGAGGAGGAAGATGTAGTTGTAGAGGAAGAAAAGACAGCAGCAAAGGAAGAAAAAGAAGAGAGTGTTAGAAACTGTCAGGAGAAAGATAATGTAGAGAAAGAGGAGGAGGAGGAGGAAGAGGGGGTGGCAACAAAAGAGGAGGAAAGTTGCAAAGATTATGTAAGGGTTAACAATGAAGAAAATGATCTTAATGAGTTTGATGATGATCAGGAAACATGCCTCCAGATTTTCATGAAAGATGAAGATGAAGAGGAAGATGATGATAAAACAAAGGAAGATGATAGAGAAAAGACACCTCCTATTACTAAACTTAATTGTAATGATCTTAAAAGTGACTCTGATAATGCAGACGAAAGAAGCAGTAAAAAGGAGTCAGAACCAGAGGAGGAGTTAGTGATTTGTGATAAACCAGTTTCAAATAGCATAGAAAATAGTCCTGTAGACAATGAAGTGGCTGTGGTAGGTTATCCTCGGGAAATGTGGATAAATTGTGGTGAAAATGTAATAAGTAGACTTTCTGATCAATCTCAATCGCCTGATATTCCTAGAACACCTAGTAATATTTCAAACCCTATTACACTATCATCAAATTGTGAAACCAGTGAAAATAACTTTTATAAACAGACACATTCACCTTCTTTAAGAATAGTGACTGACAGGACAGACAAAGATAAAAGAAGGGAAAAAGTGGAAAAAGATTATAAGAAAAAAGCAGATAGGGGTAAAGATAAAGATAAAGAAAGAGGAAAAGACAGAGAAAAGGAAGATAGACCACCTAAAAAGCTAAAAATCAAACCTTTAGTACCTCCTCTTCGTATTAGAACTGACGAGAGGAGTATTGGGCTCAAATTGACACTGAAAAAGGAAGGTTCAGGAGCTTATTACAGCGTAGGGGAGGAGAGAAAACGGGAATATAGGGTAGAACAAAACGAGGATGAGGAAGATGACGAGGAGCTAGATGATATTGTGGGAAGACAGTTTGACGGGGAGGAGGATGAGGAGGAGGAGGATGGTGATGGGGATGGCCATGGTCTAAAAGAAGTGAAAGTAGTTCTTCAAGATGTTCTCAAAGACAAAAGGTTTAAAAAGCAAATCGAGGAGCGAAGTAGTAAAAAGAGAAGAAGAGAAAAAGGTGATGATAGAAATGATAAGAATGAAAAAATTGATAGAAATGATAGACATAACTCCCATTGGTCAAGTTATACCCAACAGCTTAATCAAAGTGAAGGAGATAAAAAAAATTCACAATCATCAAACCATGAAAATAGAACTTGGAACCACAACAGTGGTATGGAGTGGCGGAGAAGTGGTGGTGAAGGTGCTTCCAGCATAGATAATTCTAGTGATCACAGAACAAGAGAATATAGTCCTCGTTTATATGCTTATAATGACCATTACGGACATGAATATTCCAACCGGCATAATCACTCTCAGCCATATGGGCATTCTGGTAGTCAACCAAGAAACTCGCATAGTTATTATTGATATATTTCTTAAAAAAATTTTATACAGAAAATTTTTATTCTTATTTATGAAACTTTTAGCATAATCTTAAACATATGTTCTTTGCTGTTTTTACATATAGCACAAATACTCAATTTTTAAGTTCACAAAATTAATATTTATATAACTTTTTTTGCATCTCAAATTTGCAAGCTATTTGATGGCTGTTGAAATGCAGCATCATTAAATTTTACTTTTCATTACTTTATAACATTTCATTGTGATTGCTTTATTTAATTTTTGAGTAGTCACCCTTCATGCTCCTTTATATTGAATCTAGTCTTTGCCCACACCCCTCTGGACTGTAAATAGCCAGGTAATAATTGCTCAGTAGAGTGACTAGTTGAAAACTGTGAGCCCTTAATTGGTGACAGTATATGGTTACTATTTACACTGGTGAAGTGAGCCTTAGTGCAATAATAACTAAGGGTCACAGTGGCTAAGCAATTCACAGGAACAGATGTAGGAACGTGATTGTCCTGGAGGCATCTTAATATGGGAAATGAGATTGAGGTTTCCCATGTGATTGTCGAATTCGGCAGAATTTTTAATACTTAAAAGCCCTGTGGTGTACCTATGTTTCAGTAGGTGTAAATGTTCTATAGGATCCTATTATAGTAATTTAAAATGACATTTAAGATTGTGGTTATTGACCTTAATAAGGAAACTGTCATTCTCAAAATATGTGATCTCAAGTGTGATTTTTTACAAGCTTATCTCATTTTTCTACTGTTGCAGTGGTATGAAGTTGGTTTGTGTGTATATTTTTGCCATGTACTTACTACTATTGTCCCATAGGTTGTTGACATTTTCAGGGAGTTTATCAGCCTAGATACTGATATAATTTAATAATAGAATCCAGGCTGACTTGCTACTAACTACAAACAGTACTACATTTGCAGTGTATATGCAAAAGCAAATATACTATTTTATGCTTTTGCAGTATGTAATATGCATAAGTCTTGACAAATTGTCACTCTGCTCCAGTATATGAAAATGTAGCTAATGTGAACAATTGTTCAAAATGTTAAACTTAGCGAGAAATCAATTGGGTGCGACTCACTCATAATGGAGTACTTTGCGTTCTTTCTATGCTGTGGAGTACTGCTTATCTTGTGTCTAACAAGGCAGAAACATTACACAAAAATAGTCACAAATACTTTGATAATGAACCACCATTATGAAGGAAGCACATCAGTTATGCTCAAAATGGAGGAAGAGAGAAGGGCAAAGTCTATGTTATTTAAAGTTTGTTTGTTTCAGATAGTCAGTCTGATTTAGTTCCTCTTGGAAGTATTATGACAGTATTATGGTACGTTGGCACTGCAGCTCTCCTGAATCACATTTTGATCTCTACACAAGTTACAGGTAATTGTACCAATATTATTTTCTATCTCATCTGGAAACTTGTTAATCTTTCATTTTTGAAATACTATACACTGACTCTCATTCTTTTTTATTTATATTTTTAAAATGCATAAAGAATGGAAATCTCTTCTTTTTCAGCCAGATTACATATTTGACTTTCGCGGTTTTAAATATAGCCTCTCCTCACTTAACGACAGAGTCCTGTTCCTAAGACCATGTCGGTAAACGAATTCATCGCCAAGCAAGGAGCATACTATAATGGCAGTGGGTTAGTGTCAGCCATCTTTGATATTGTTTTAATGTCACCTTTGCACCATTTATAACATTTCTGGTATATTTTTAATTGTTTATACAACAATGTACTCTACATTGTAATAAACAGAATAGAGGAAATCAGCTCTAATATACATTATTTAGGTATGCATACTGGTCAGAGAGCCCGTCGTAAGTCCAAGTCGTCGGTAAAAAAAGTACATCGCTAAATGAGGAGAGGCTGTACTGTATTTTTTATGTTTATAAAAGTATAAATTTTCTTCTTTCAACAAACTGGTCGTATCCCACCGAGGCAGGATGGCCCAAAAGAAGAAAGGAAATTTTCTCCTTTTAAATTTAGAAATATATACAGGATAAGGGGTTACTAGCTACTTGTTCTCAGCATTTTAGTCACCTCTTATGACACACATGGCTTACTGAGGAAGAATTCTGTTCCACTTCCCCATGGAGAAAAGTATAAATTCTTCTGTCTTCTTGTCATTAGTGTCGAGGTTGGGAGACTACTCTCTCCCGTCTTCGCATTGGCCGCACTCGTCTTACTCATGGGTATCTCATGGAAAGGCGCCCTGTTCCTCTCTGTGAGAAGTGTCAGGTTCCAGTACCGATTAGCCACATTCTGTTAGACTGCCCTCTCTATCAATGAGCACGCAGAATTTACCTCCAACGTCGTCTCTGCTCTCCTACTCTTTCTTTACCTTCCCTTCTTGCTGATGGACCCTCCTTTAATCCTGACTCTCCCATTGACTTCTTGACAACGACTGATTTACTCCACAAACTCTGATGATGATACCTTTTGCACTCCCCTCAGCCCTTTCTACCTCAATCTTTTGCTGCCCTGTACCCTTTCGCTATCCACTGCCCTGCTGTTCTCCGTAACCTACTGCTCATCCCTCTCCCTTTTGCCACCTGATACCCTCGCTTCCTGCCCTGCAGCGCTGTATAGCCCTTGTGGTTTAGCGCTTCTTTTTGATTATAATAATAATCTTTCAACGTACCAGCCGTATCCCACTGAGGTGGGGTGGCTCAAAAGGAAAAACGAAAGTTTCTCCTTTCAAATTTAGTAATATATACAGGAGAAGGGGTTACTAGCCCCTTGCTCCCAGCATTTTAGTAACCTCTTATGACACACATGGCTTACTGAGGAAAAATTCTGTTCCACTTCCCCACGGAGACAAGAGGACATAAACAAGAATAAGAACTAGAAAGAAAATAGCAGAAAACCCAGAGGGGTATGTTATATATATATGCTTGTACATGTATGTGTAGTGTGACATAAGTGTAAGTAGAAGTAGCAAGATGTACCTGAAGTCTTGCATGTTTATGAGACAGAAAAAAGACACCAGCAATCCTACCATCATGTAAAACAATTACAGGCTTCTGTTTTACACTCACTTGGCAGGACGGTAGTACCTCCCTGGGTGGTTACTGTCTACCAACCTACTACCTAGAAAAAAAGTATAAATATACATTCTAAATGTACAGTACTCTGTTTTAGAACAAGAGTGTGGGCTGTTTCAGGCTCAGAATGCAGGAAGTAATACTTCTCTGTGTGAAACATAATTATTCAGTTGAGATTATTGCTTTTTGTGAATTCAGATACAGTAACTCAAAATTTAATTATTTTTTTTCTTTAATTGCTCTATTCTTTATGCAAGTAAATGAGGTCAGACAAACACACAGCATACATTCAACCAATCAACTTCTGTGTGTTTTAAGGCATATAGGATGTGTGCACAGGTTATTAGCATCACTGGTTTACCTAACTGACAAAGGATAGGAGTGAATGGAGACGAATGATATTTGGGACCTGACGAGCTGTTGGAATATGAGCAGGGTAATATTTAGTGAAGGGATTCAGGGAAACCGGTTATTTTATATAACTGGACTTGAGTCCTGGAAATGGGAAGTACAATGCCTGCACTCCAAAGGAGGGGTTTGGGATATTGGCAGTTTGGAGGGATATATTGTGTATTTTTATATGTATATACTTTTAAACTGTTGTATTCTGGGCACCTCTGCAAAAACAGTGATTATGTGTGAGTGAGGTGAAAGTGTTGAATGATGATAAAAAGTATTTTCTTTTTGGGGATTTTCATTCTTTTTGGGTCACCCTGCCTCGGTGGGAGACAGCCGACTTGTTAAAAAAAAAACTATATATATATATATATATATATATATATATATATATATATATATATATATATATATATATATATTATGTATGTATGTATGTATGTATGTATGTATGTATGTATATATATATATTTATGTATGTATATATATGTATGTATATATATGTATGTATATATATGTATGTATATATTGTATGTATATATTGTATGTATATATATGTATGTATATATATGTATGTATATATATGTATGTATATATATGTATGTATATATATGTATGTATATATATGTATGTATATATATATGTATGTATATATATGTATGTATATATATGTATGTATATATATGTATGTATATATATGTATGTATATATATGTATGTATATATATGTATGTATATTATGTATGTATGTATGTATGTATGTATGTATGTATGTATGTATGTATGTATGTATGTATGTATGTATGATATGTATATATTATATATTATATATATATATATGTATATATATATATATATATATATATATATATATATATATATATATATATATATATATATATATGTATGTATATGTATGTAGGTAGGTAGGTAGTAGGTTGGTGGACGGTGGCCGCCCGGGGAGGTGCTGCCGTCCTGCCAAGTAAGTGTGGGGCGGGGGCCTGTAGTTGTTTTGCATGATGGTGGGATTGCTGGTGTCTTTTGTCTGTCTCATAAACATGCAAGATTTCGGGTACGTCTTGCTACTTCTACTTCCACTTGGGTCGCACTGCAAATGCATGTACAAGCCTATATATACACACCCCTCTGGGTTTTCTATTTTCTTTCTAGTTCTTGTTCTTGTTTATTTCCTCTTATCTCCATGGGTAAGTGGAACAGAATTCTTCCTCCGTAAGCCATGCGTGTCGTAAGTGGTGACTGAAATGCCAGGAGCAAGGGGCTAGTAACCCCTTCTCCTGTATATATTACTAAATTTGAAAGGAGAAACTTTCGTTTTTCCTTTTGGGCCACCCCACCTTGGTGGGATACGGCTGGTATGTTGAAAGAAAGAAGAGATATACATGTATATATTTTTTTTTCAACAAGTCGGCCGTCTCCCACCGAGGCAGGGTGATCCAAAAAGAAAGAAAATCCCCAAAAAGAAAATACTTTCATCATCATTCAACACTTTCACCTCACACATAATCACTGTTTTTGCAGAGGTGCCCAGAATACAACAGTTTAGAAGTACTACAATGTATATATACATATAAAAATACACAATATATCCCTCCAAACTCCCAATATCCCAAACCCCTCCTTTAGAGTGCAGGCATTGTACTTCCCATTTCCAGGACTCAAGTCCGGTTACATAAAATAACCAGTTTCCCTGAATCCCTTCACTAAATATTACCCTGCTCACACTCCAACAGCTCGTTAGGTCCCAAATACCATTTGTCTCCATTCACTCCTATCCTTTGTCAGTTAGGTAAACCAGTGATGCTAATAACCTCATTGAATTACCTTAACCCTTAAACTGCTGAAGGGGTCTAAAATAAACGTGTCCTCAGGGCTGAAGATTTTGAAAAAAATATAAAACATTAAAAATTTTTCCCTATTTTTTAGAAATGTAATAAGACAAGAATGAGTAAAATTGGTGTAGTACTTACAGTGATATAAAGGTGACCTATGCCTATGATTTGTTATAGTATGTCACTTCTATTTTTCTTTTTTAACACAATGGTTGTCTTCCACCAAGGCAGGGTGATCCAAAAAAGAAACACTTTCACCATCATTCAATATTGGAATGCCTGTGGTATTCTGATATTATAGTTCACATGCCCCTCCAAACTGCAGATATCCCCACCTCTCTGTCAGAGT